CTTTATCGTTCTTGTATAATGATATGATTAATATCGCCCGGGCGGTTAGGAAGGTTACAATAAAAAGTATTAATTTTCAGATCATCTATAACGAGCGGTCAATAATATAATTATGCAACTTATGCTAGTATATTTCCGCCGAGCGTTGCAAGTTGCAACTTGGGGTTTTGCGGAGGTGGTAAAATAAAAAACACACTTTAGGGTCAAGATACAAAGTAGACGAGCGTAGCGATGCCAACAAATATTGTTTTAATAAAGAAAATATAGTAAAATTATCAGATAACGGAAACCCACAATATTTGCTAGGATGCCGTATAGCCCCAGATTTTTTTTTTTATACAAGCTCCGTGCTTTATTTGATGCATTTTAAAATGTTAATATGTTCCCATTCCCGGCCGATCAGACCATTATGGGCCGGCCCGGAAAAGGTCAGTCCGCCGCCAAAAGGGGGGGCCGGGTGTGCCCCCCCCCCTAAATCCGCGCCTGGTGAGTGATCTTGCGACGCAGCACAGGGGTTCGTTACAAATGCAGTGTAACAAACGATATTTCTGATAAATTGCAGGAGTGTTAAAATTGTTTCCATTGCCGGCATTGGTGATTTCAACCTATGTGCATTTTGTACGATATTGCAGACAATGGTATTGTTTTTGTTGTAATGAAAGTTTTTTTTCTTTTCTTTTTTCTTTTGCACATAAATTTACAATGACAGTGTCATGTCTCACAATACCCAGCGATATTTCAGCAGCCGTCATGTGTATGTACATTGTAGTTCCGGTCAGTGTTGTATTAATACGCTAAGAATTGTGTCTCGTGCTGCATGGTAATTAAAGTCCCATCAACGACACAGCTTTCAAAGAGGCTATATAGTGATAATGCCATGCAAATGTAAATATATATAAATTGAACGACTGTATCATTTAAGAGGCATTAGGATAAATAAAGATGATGTGCAAGTTTTATATATCGGAATCACGATATCATTTGGAATAATTGTGAATCATGAAATTCGCCGTTTTAATAATGCTCAACGATTGCTTTATGGTTTCTTGCGGTTCTATTTTTGAGGACCTGACATTACTTAGTCTCGTTTAACCAGACTCTTTTTGTCTGCGCAAGCTACGCCGAAAAGAGATTACAAGTGATCAAGCGTCTGGTTGAACGAGACTAGACATTACTAGGTCTACATGTCGGGTATCGTCAATGAAGCAGAAAATCCTATCCATCCGGAACACCTTTAGGCCCTATTCACGAAACCCTTCTCAAACAGTCTGATCAAACCAATGTTCTTGTTACTCAATGAAATCGTGCTATATGATCACAAGTGTTCACATAGGAAATAGTCGGCTTAAAGATTCTCGAAAATATCTTCCAAATCACTTGCAAGATGTCATTTTGTTATTATGACATGACCAGAACAAGAAATAGGACTTCAGAACAGAATTTGCACGAGAACGGTTTCATGAATATGTGTCTTTTCTTTTTTTATACTAATTGTACTTTTCAATTATCTGTATTACTTATATTTGTATATAAATACTCCATGTCTATGTATTTATACTCTTATGTAAATAGTCCATATTTGTGTTCTTAAAGCTAGGTATAAATAGCCCGTCTACGACCACTTGCAGGAAAGAAATAGAAGCAGTTCTTTTATTCGATCAAAGACTGTTCTAAATAAAACAAGAAAAAACATATCGTTCGATCTTTTAATGATTGATTGAGTAGGTTACTCTTTCGTTCATCGTTAAAATAACAAAATGAAAATAACAAAATATTGCAATACGGTAAAACCATGGATATCTTGCTGTTCATAATTGCACATATATTCCCATTTCATTATAGTCATGATGTTGTATTATTTAAAAATGTTTTTTGTTGTTGTTAATATCATGCCTTGGTGTTTCTTTCATCTGATATCTGTCCTCTAGTTGATCCTTCTTTAGAAATCAGACGGACTAGATTTTTGTTAAAAGTTCTCAAAGTTTCAACGCATTTAAGCCTCTTCCTCTTCCTCGTCAAACTCTCCCTCCTCCTCGGCTGTGGCATCTTGGTACTGTTGGTACTCAGACACCAAGTCGTTCATGTTGGACTCGGCCTCTGTGAACTCCATCTCGTCCATACCCTCACCAGTGTACCAATGCAAGAAAGCCTTACGACGGAACATAGCGGTGAACTGCTCAGAGATACGCTTGAAGAGTTCCTGGATGGCGGTGCTGTTACCAATGAAGGTACCAGACATTTTGAGACCACGTGGTGGGATATCACAGACGGCAGTCTTGACGTTGTTAGGAATCCATTCAACGAAGTAGCTGCTGTTCTTGTTTTGTATATTTAACATTTGTTCATCGACTTCCTTCATGGACATACGTCCCCGGAAGATTGCAGCAACGGTAAGATAACGTCCGTGACGAGGATCGCAAGCAGCCATCATGTTCTTGGCGTCGAACATCTGTTGGGTTAGCTCTGGGACGGTAAGAGCCCTGTACTGCTGGCTTCCACGAGATGTGAGAGGAGCGAAACCAGTCATGAAGAAATGGAGACGGGGGAAGGGCACCATGTTGACAGCCAATTTACGGAGATCGGCGTTCAATTGACCAGGGAATCGGAGACAGGTGGTGACTCCGGACATGGTGGCTGAGACGAGATGGTTCAAGTCACCGTATGTGGGTGTGGTCAGCTTGAGGGTACGGAAGCATATGTCATACAAAGCCTCGTTGTCGATGCAGAAAGTCTCATCTGTGTTTTCTACTAATTGATGTACCGAAAGAGTTGCGTTGTATGGTTCCACAACTGTGTCAGACACCTGTATAAAGAAAAAATGATAATGTACAAATACAATTTCAGGACAAGTTTGTATTATTAATCACGATGCAAATACTATATAAAATCGACTGTGTGCAATATCAATACATTTTTTTTTTGTGTGTATAGCTATCGTCTACATGAAACATTGTGGTGCCAGCTCGATCTGAAAAGACGACATTCTATTTTCTTACATTTTAAGTCTTAAAGTGCTTCTATTTTAAGATGTCCTGATTCGATGACTTTCTCTGATTATTTATAAAATTCACTGTTTTCTTATGAATTGAATGAAAAAAAACCCGCTTACTTTTGGCGATGGTACTACGGAGAATGTGTTCATGATCCTGTCGGGGTATTCTTCACGGATTTTGGAGATGAGGAGTGTTCCCATTCCGGACCCAGTACCACCACCAAGAGAATGTGTAAGTTGGAATCCCTGAAGACAATCACATCCTTCTGCTTCTTTACGAACAACATCAAGAACAGAGTCTACAAGTTCAGCACCTTCTGTGTAATGTCCCTTAGCCCAGTTGTTTCCAGCACCACTCTGTCCGAACACAAAGTTGTCTGGTCTGAAGATTTGTCCAAAAGGACCAGATCTGACAGAGTCCATGGTTCCGGGCTCCAAATCAACCAAGATAGCACGGGGAACATATTTGCCACCTGTAGATATAACAAGAGGTCCAATGGGACTGAATCGCTCACCTGGTGTTAATCTCACACTTGTTATCTTAAAAGTGGACTAAAATAGAGCTACAGGCAGAATATCAGTGTTTGACTCATAAGAACATATTAAAAGATTTAAATATATGACGTTTGTGACCTCGAATGTCGAACAAGGACATTAGGTGGAACAGAGTTTATAGTTGTCCAACCCAGTATGCTTCTTACAAAATATCATTACCCTGGACCTTTTGGTTATACAGAACAAGTCATTTAAAGATTTAAATATACATTGACCACCGTGACCTTGAATATATGTCAAGGTCATTCACTTGAACAAACTTGGCGGTCCTTCATCCCAGCATGTTACTGGCCAAATATCATTATCCTAGGCTTCTTGGTTATTCAGAAGAATTTGTTTAAAGGTTTTAAAAATATTTGACAACTGTGACCTTGAATATAATTCAAGATCATGATTCGTTTGAACAAACTTGGTAGCCCTTTATCTCAGTATGTTACTGGCCAAATATCATTAGACTGGACTTTTCGGTTATTCAGAAGAAATTGCTTAAATGTCTTAAACATATTTGACCATTGTGACCTTGAATATAAGTAAAAGTCATTCATTTTAACAAACTTAGTAGCCCTTCATCTCAGCATGATACTGGCCAAATATCATCATCCTAGGTCTCTTGGTTATTAAGAAGAGGTTGTTTAAAGTAAAATATTGACGCCGGACGACGGACGCTGCACCACGGCATGTTATTAAACAACTAAAAACAACTTGATTCACATGTAAATTGGCAGATTATGATTGAATTTGTATCTAAATAGTAAAACAGGGAACAGAGGACAATGTCGTCTACACTCGTTAGACCATTTTATTATGAAAAAAGTACTTAAAATATTTTTTTAATCTTGTTATTTTATTAACAACAATGCTTATATCTTATTGGTTGATGGTTGATTGCAAAAACAGTGTGAAGTGTTGAAGTCGAATTAAGAAGCACAACCGTGACTTATTATCACTTCTGTGTGCTATTGTACATAAATGATGCTTTATCGATGTATACATCAATCTAAATATTAAGTACTAAAGCCTAAACAGGAGTCAGAACCGTCACTCACTATCACTTTTGTATGACACTATACATACCCGAGGCTTCAGTGAAGTAAACATCAATTCTCTCCAGTTGTAGGTCAGAATCTCCGTTATAAGATCCTGTGGGGTCTATTCCGTGTTCATCAGAAATCACCTCCCAGAACTGTGAAGACAACGAGATACTATTAAAGGTCTCATCATAGCCAATAAGGTATTTAACGAGTAAACTAGTTTTTATCATTATCACGTACGTACCTTAGTAATCTGTGTGCATGCAGAAAGCACCTTTTTATGTTATTTACGATATTACAAGAAAATAATTTGTCATTCTTTGTAACAGCATTGTGTGACGGAAATCCACACAACAACCTTACGATTGTTATCTGAAGTAAAGGACAACATGAGGACCTCAACCATAGCTTTAAAGTAAATAGAGCAGGGGTATTATTAAACTTCCGCTAGTCACTACTATAAACGGAAATGGAGTTTCTGAAGGTTTGCAAGAGCATTTATGGTTTATAATACACATAGCAATTTTGCCTGGGTTTGTGGCATATGGATTATATATTATATTAATTGTGAAATAGTGGGTTATCTTCAATATTTTGTAGAAAAGGCGAAATATCAAATATCTACGCAAGTTTTGATTGTTGTCTTGTTCCTTTTCATTCGATTTTTTCCTTCTTTTCATCTACATATTTTCTAACATCTTACATTGGCTTGTTCATTTACTTGTTTGCTGATTCATGAAACGCAAACACTAACATGTATTCAAATAATTGCATATATCTTCAAAAATATTAATAGGTTCCATGAATTTAACTAAAGTTATCTTCAATTCAATTAAAGATATGTCCAAATACTTTTACCAGTCTTTAGTTACTAAAGATAGATACCCCTGATTTATTTTCTCTCACTAATCTAATAAATAATCTTATAAATCTCGTTAACTCAGTCACCCCTGAAATTTCATAATGAACTATTCCAACTATTGAATTGGAAGAGTTCAAATGCGTCTTCAGGAGTGATTGAGGTATTGAACAAGATTTATAACAAACAGCTAAAACGTTCCTGGATCGATGCCAAATAGATTTATGTCTATGTCTAGGGGTACATTCCTACTGAATTTCATATCCAATCCCAGAGATGCTATGTTCATTTAAGACGAGCACTTCTGGAGTCAAGAACTGTGCTCAATAGTAAACATCTTTTTGATATATGAAAACGAATTCCTATATAAACACTTGCCTTATTTTCTTCTGGCTGAAACCCTAAAAAGGTTACATTTTTTTTTTTACCTTAGTGTCATAGTAGAACGTTTGGAATGATAACGACTGGTGAACTTAGGGACTGCGGTTTGCACATATACTCATTAACCCATGAAGACACATTTGAACACTTCCAATTCAAAGGATGGAATAGTTCATTATGAAATTTCAGGGGTGAATGAATTAGATGGTTGACTGTTATGACCTGCATGCTATTGGCTGTGTATGTGTGATTTCCTTAATGCATCCTTATGTATGAGAGAACAGAAACACCTTGAATCTAAATGATAAGACTGTCAATCAAAATTTGGAAATATAAGCTGGCTGGCCTTTATGTTTTGCCAAATGTTGAACTATGTATCTTGTTTTGGGAAAGAGGTTAATAATGTTGTAATACCTTTTGTAATGTGAGACAACAAAATATTGAAATAATTTATAACATCAGGACGCTATTTTGACACAGGATATAAAATAAACGTATTAACTGATTAACAAATTACAATGTTATCATAGTCATCAAATGAACCACAGCTCTTGTAGCAAATAGGCATGTTTATAAGAACATCGATTGAACTGAGGAAAACAGGATTACAAAAATAATAAGTATGTTTCTTTACCATTTTTACTGCCTTTTTCAGTTTAAGATGTTTGTTTGTTTGTGGGTTGGAAAATTACGTAAGCATGATCCTTTTACTGACCTTTTCAGCTTTAAAATGTGTATATTACTATAATAATGTTACAATGTTAAACAAAGCTCAAAGAAGATTTTAATGGACTTACCAATTAAGTACTGTTATGGATGTTTTGCATTTGATCATGTTTTATTCTGATGATTTTCTGTTTTGATGTACATTTTGTTAATTATTGTATATTTTATAACTACTTGACCAAATGTAAGACGAGTCGTTGACTCAACTTTGGAATCAAGTATAACTAAAGACTTGAATTATTATTATTAATAATTTACGCGGTCGCAGTAGACCGACGTTTACTCTACAGTTATCTCCCTTACTTAACAAAATGTGTACAGGTAAAAATACTAGTAACTACCGAGTACATGTTACGTATGCGTACCGACTGGTCATTGGACAGATGAAAATAAATGTGAATTGTATTACATGTGTACTTGTGTCTTATATCAGCTGATCTCGTAATCAACTGGGATCAAACAGGTGAGTGCTATTTAGTCAAAACAAACACGTTTTCCAAATAACAATGATAAAACCGTACACTATTCGTAAGTTATCGTAACTCGTCGAACGCAGTTAATGTCGCTTTCATGAGGACAGGGGCATTTACTTGTGTAGGGATCGTTGCACACGACTACTAGCTGTTTGTGTCCCGTAGAAACGTGTGCGAGTGATGTACAATATGTGTACCGGACCTCGATGCACCCGGGTTTATTCATGACTTTCTCTGTGCCTTTATATATATTTTCAAATTTGTTGTTCATTAAAAACATCAATTAATCAAGTAGTTTATTTCAGTTTTCATTGTTTTATTTGACACCATTACGAGACAATGTACGTTAATAAATAATACGTTTACAAAGCAATATTACAGGAGGACATCACACACACACACGTGTACCAATATCTATCAGTTGTCGACAAAACCATACGCGCGGGAGAAATTTACGCGGACGACCAACTCCGCGTTATAAGCGTACATTTTCCGCGCGCGTAATATTCCACGTTTACAGTACTAATTTCTGTCATGTAAACCTCGTGATGTTTGGATGAAAATGCAGCAAAGTTGATCGTTTCACTCATTCACCCCTGCAATTTCATAATGATCTAGGCCTAGCTGATAAAACAATGTAAAAAGGAAGCACGTTACACTATTGGCGCTTGAGTCACTACATGTGTGTACTGCTGACACTACATCTGCAGCACTACAGCGTGTGTCTAACAGAACGCTAGCGCGATACGTGTGTGTATTTACGCAGATGACTAAGGATAGCTAACGTGTTGTGTGTGACCTTTGAACTCGGACCGAGTGAGCGAAACACGGTATCTGGTTTCAAATTTCAGTTTGCTCAACTCCATGTGACTTTTTACTCGTTATAAAATTTGTATTCCAATATTCGTACATTTAAAAAGTCAATGCCTATGTATATATCTGATTTGTATAGATGTCTGGCGCTAGCTGGAACAGCTGGTCGGCCATGCAGGAGGACACCATATATTTAATATATTCCTCGACCTGCCGGTGGACCGGTATACAGATCATGACACACACTATATAAATAGCTTCTCCATATGCTTACCGCCACTCCCTGAAATGAGCAAGGAAGTTTTTCTTGTTTAACGTCTTTTGTGGTATCTAAACGATTTACAAATACTAATCTACATTATGTCATCTACAAAATCAAATGTTCAAAAACAGATTGTAAACTTTTTCTAACTAGGTGGAAAACACATGCTTTCAATTACGCCGCACATCATCGCTCTTCTAGGCCGGTGAACTGTGGAAGTAACATGCATTCAAGATTTTCTTTTAAACTGAAATATATGTCTGACCTTTGCTCCAATCTGGTTTCCGCACTGTCCGGCCTGTAGGTGAACTATTTCTCTCATCTTGGTTGTCAGTGTGATTTCGTACTACTGTTCGTTCTCAAAACGGCGATGTTAATGAGCATCCGTGTAGTTATACATCTTGAAGTAGTCACGTGGTCGACTTACTCAGAATCCGTTCAATAATAAAAGAAGTTCTCTTCTATTTCTTCGACATAATTTGTTGCATCATATTAATATCGTATTAGTATTTATACAATTCGAAATGCATTATGTTATGTAGGATAGAAGAGCTCGTCAGTTTAGTTGTGTATATATTAAATAGGACACGATATAATTAATAGTATGGTTGCCATGGTATCGCGGACATCCTAGTGTCCGTTTCAAGTTTGTCATATTGACGATTACGCGTAGTAGTATCACACTGGATTGTTGGTTGGTTGGCGTTTTTTTCGGGTTTAATCTCACTGACGGAAGTCGGTGTTCTGTCGGCGTTCACTGGATTGTACCAAGATATATGCGAGTCGAGTAAGTGTTATAAATACTTAGAGCATTCATGTCAACATTATCCTAAATTTATATTTAATCGAAAAAAGGAAACATTCGTCGTCAATTTGATATATGATTACAAACGTGTGTCTTTTACTGGTTGTCTTGCTAATAAGATATCGCTGATAGCCTTGCTCATAAGATATCGTTGATAGCCTTGCTAATAAGATATCGTTGATAGCCTTGCTAATAAGATATCGCTGATAGCCTTGCTGATAAGATATCGCAATAACTACAGTAACAATATTGATTTTTAAGTTATTTTGCCATCACATACATTTTAAGAAAAAGACTTCCTACGTTTTAACACGGACTTAGATCTAATTCCGTGGTTTTAAGTTTTTCAAATGATGGATAAAAAAATAAGCCTTTTTACGTTAAGTATATTTCCTGTTACATTGAGATTTTTAATGTTTGATTACAGGTAAGTTAAGACTTGTATGTCTATTTATACATGTACATTAAGACTTCATGTTTGATTACAACTACATAAAAATCTTCAGACCTAATTACAGGTACATTAAGATTTCATGTTTGATTACATGTATATAAAGATTTCATGCTTGATTACAGGTATATTAACATTGCGTGCTTGTTTACAGGTGTATAAAGATTTCATGCTTGTTTACAGGTGTATACAGATTTCATGCTTGATTACAGGTATATTTCGATTTCATGCTTGATAACAGATATATAAAGATTTCAGGTTTACATGTACATTTAGATTTCATGCTTGATTGCAGGTACACTAACATTTCACGTTTGATAATATGTACATTAAGAGTTCATGCTTGATAACAGATTTATTAAGTTCTCATGTTTACAGGCTGTTCAAGTTGGAAAATCCTAGCTCTTCTCTATGAAACTAAGAGATAAAGCTCAAATGAGATAGGGGAATTGTAAGTAGAATACACACTTCAACTCTTAAGCGATCATCAATCATGACATATCATAATTGCATAATCACAATAGGCTACCTTTTCAAGGGATATTTGATTCTATTGATCTTCAGGACAACACCTAATATAAATATAGTATGTACATAGTGTTTTAGCATTATGCAGATAATATAATAAACCAATATGATCCGTAGTCATCTATCATGTCATGTACAAGATCTAGTTCGCTATCCTTTGCGAAACAGAAATGATTATAGAATCCCGTATTTCAGATTATCAACAACAAACTCTTCTTTTTTACCGTCAACTCTTCGCTGTTGGAATACCCTCGATAACTCTATTAGGTCATCAGCTTCATTGAATATCTTTAAAAATTCCCTGAAACCCAACGATCAATTTATTCCTCCTTCGTACTTTTGTAATGGCGACCGTAAGTTAAATGTTATTCACACGAAGCTTAGACACCGTTGTAGTTCTCTAAATTATGACTTATTCCGTGTGAACCTTGTGGAAACCCCTAGCTGTATTTGTGGACATATTTGTGAAAATGTTTATCACTTTTTCTTTCAATGTCGCAGTTATAGTATTGAAAGAAACATCCTTTTTCAGCGAGTAAATGATTTGAGTTTAGAGGTACCATGTGATTTAGATTTGCTTTTATTTGGAAATGAAGATTTGTCGCTTGATACAAATTCGGAAGTCTTTTTATACGTTCATAATTTCATTAAATCTAGCAAAAGATTTTAAAGAAAAGTGCACAACGCTATATATTTAATTGTTTTAATTTCATTATCCGATGTTACTGTAGTATTGTGCTATCACTTATTCAACTGCTAAGGTAACACTGTTGGCCCAGCTGGAATTATTAAGATGAAAGACTACGGAAAAGAAGAGGATCTGCGTGGTTACGGAAGAGGAAAGTTTTTCAGGATTGAGATGAACAATTTGTAGTGCGTAATGAATGTGTTTATAGTCCAACTGGGTCAACATTGTTATAAGCTTGATAAGTTTGTTATATAACCTTGTTATAAGTTTGTTATCTTAATCTATAGTTTTAATCATGAAATGAGTCAGACTAAAATATCTCTCTCCCCTCTCTCTCTCTCTCTCTCTCTCTCTCTCTCTCTCTCTCTCTCTCTCTCTCTCTCTCAAGTATGTGTTTGTTGTAAATTAATTTATGTATTATTAGAAATTGCATTATATTTATATGTTGTAAACCATTATGGAAAGGGCGTTTATAAGTTGCAATAACTTGTGTCCAATCCTTTTGTAATTATATTGCAATAAAATATGTTTAAACTTTAAACTCATGTCATGTGACTTGCTGACAACTTGTGTAAGTTGATATAAATCTTATACTTTGTTGTAACAAAATGTACATCAGTGGATGTATATGTATAACAGTAACCTGATGTATTGGTAGGTTTTTAATGGGTTTGTCAACAATGTAAAACAAAAACCAAGTACATTATATATTTGCACTATTGTTACATATTGACTGACCTGTTGTCTATAATGGGTTTTTTTTAAAAAAAAAATTTAATTCATTTGAACAAAGAAATACTATGTTGCTATTGTAATGTGCGGAATTGAAAAAGAAAATCGAAATAAAATGAAATTCCGGATTGTTTGCCCAGAGGCTATATGTCTCTGGTTTGTCCAATATAAACAGATTATTTTCCCCCTCAGTATTAAAATGGAAAAGATTCCACATATTCCATTTCACGTGAATTATTATCAGGCTGAGGGGTGGGGGTGGTCCTGAAGCCCCCCCAAAAAAACTCTGGATCCGCCACTATGAAATATATATATATATATATAAAAAAATAGTATATAGGTATTTTATATGCGTGTAATCTGTAATCTCTAGTGAATCTGCTTTCATATTTGCTTGTGGTTTGTTGTGTTTAAGCTGTTCCTGCGGATACTAATCTGGAGTCGGTTTCATTTTTGTAAAACTGCAGTCGTACTGTTGACTTCCGGTGTGCTTGCTAGACGCACGTAGCCTAACGAATACGGAGTGAAAGAATGGATAAAATGGGAAAGAATGCACCAGGTGTAAGAGTATAGGTAAACAAATAGATTATAATTAGGTATAGTTGATAGTGTGTCATTTTCGTTTGACCGCATTTATGTTTTTCTGTGTCTTTTCCTTCTGTCTATCACTGCTTCTTGCTCCTTTCTTCTTCAGTGTCAGGTGTGAGTGTCATTATACTTACTACACTGGCATGGGGCCCTCTCATGTCTACGTCCGTTGTTTTAGGCAGTGTCATATATATTTTGAGTGAGTATAAGCTGTTTATACAACTGACTTGTTGAGTGTATAAAAATAATATCAGCAAATTGTCAAGGTTTAGGAGGTGGAAATAAAAGAAAAGAGAGGTATTTTCTTACTTGAGAAATAAAAACTATAATATTTTCTGTTTACAGGATACACATTTCACTCATGATACTGAAATATTTTTCGAGCAGAATGGGGTTATGAATGCTATTTTAATTCATTTAGATCAAATGCAAGAGGGGTAGCAATACTTTTAATAACAATTTTGAAGTAAAGGTAATGCAGGAAAGAAGGGATTTAACTGGGAATTTTCTTTAACTTTAATAACATTATATAGCCCTAATTCAGACAATCCAGCTTTTAATGAATATTTAACAGAAACTATAAATGCATTTGGCAATGAGTCTTATATATGTGGTAATTCTAATTTAATTTTGAACCCTAAATTGTACTATGATAAAAGCCAGAGATAAAGTAATTGAAATTATAGAAGAGTTGGGAATGGTAGATGTATATACAGAGAGCAACATCCGGAGCACAAAAGATACACTTGGAGGAGAAGTAACCCAGTAAAACAAGCTCGTTTAGATTCCTTTCTTATTTCAGACAGCTTATTACCAACTATTCATTATTCAAATATTGAGCCAGGTTTAGAACTGATCATTTGCTTCCTATTATTGCTTTAAGATTTAATGAATTTAAGAAAGGTAAAGGATTATGGAAGTTTAATAATTCACTCTTGTATGATTTAGATTACCTGGAACTTATTAATAAACTTGTTTTAGACATTAAAAGACAATATGCTCTTCCAGTGTATTTTAGAAAACATCAATAATATCCCTGATTCTGATATACAATTCACAATAAGCGATCAACTTTTTTTAGAAACACTTTTAATTGAAATTCAAGGCAAAACCATTTCCCACTCTTCATATAAGAAACAACAACAGAATTTAAAGGAATATAATCTTACAGAAACTATAAGTGAACTAGAAGATAGTAGTGATGTTGATATAGATAAAGTGAATAAAAATAAACAGGAATTACAAATATCAGATTGCATAAATTAAAAGGTAGTATAATTTGATCTAGAGCTAAAAGGGTAAAAGAAGATGAAAAGCCAACAAACTATTTTTTAACCTAGAAAACAGAAATTACACCTGAAAGTTAATACCGATGATAGAGAAAAACAATGGCGATCAAATAACTAAGCAGGTAGAAATTCTTGATGAGATAAGAAAGTTTTATGAAAAATTGTATACAATTGATAATGATATAGAAGATGTTCATATAGATGATTTTTTTAAAAGATATTGATATTCCAAAATTAAGTAATATAGAATCTAACAAATTAGAAGGTATAATTACTCTCAATGAAGCTTCAAATACTTTAAAAACTATGAAAACAAATAAAAGCCC